ATTGATTCTTTTCCTTGCAAATATGGTTTTTATGCTATAAAGAGGAGTGAGAAGGATCTGAATTGTTTTCTTGATGATTACTACCATGTTCGTAGTTATTGTGATTCTTATTCACATTCTATCTATCTAGTTCCTAGTATATGGAAGCCAAATGTAGTTCTGAATGATGACGCTGTTCTACCTCCTCTTTGTAAGAAACCAGTTGGACATCCAAGAACAGAGAGAATGCTTTCGAAGGGCGGATCAAGAGAATTAGGTGCAGTAGGTGTGAAAAAATGGGAACTCATAATCGAAAGACATGGAAAGAAGCTTGCTTTAGTTGCATTGATTTTAATTGAATTACTTTTGTTGAGAGTTGAGAGGTGTTACTTGCATTGAATGTTTAAGTATTTTTTGAAAGATACATCATTTCGGTAGTTGCATTGGATGATTGAGGAATTTTTTGAACGGAAATTATATTTTTTGTTGATATTTTTACAAGATTAAGCTTCACAGATTTATATTCTTTGATTTTGGTTAAATGTAATTGATGTTTTTGGTATTTTATACAGTGGTAAATTTATTCCTGGTTGGTTTGAATGAGTTGGTGGATTATGTTTTTTTAAGAGTGATAAATTTACCATTGTCTAGAGGAAACAATCAAGCATTAATGGGGTTGGTGAATTTTGTTAAGAATGATAAATTTATAACTGACTGTATGGAAAGAGTTGATGGTTTATTACATTTATGTCAATGGTTAATAAATTTATCACTGTCATATCCAACCAAATGTTCTTTTTTACAGTGATAAATTTATCAGTGGCTTAAACTCAAGAAAAATCAATTGTAGGTAGTTTGGGACTAAGTTTCCCAATCTGTGCTACATTACTACCAATATGCAATTAACTATCAGTGGGATCCTTGAAGCAAAATATTTCAAGTTTGCAATTCATTTTCAAATTAAATTGTTCAAAATTTCAGTCTAAGAAATATTTTAGATGCAACAGTTTATCATCAGGTCTTGAATAAGATCATATTACTTCATAAATAACTGGTTCTTGGAGTTAAATGTTAAAATGTATGTACGGTTTATTTTTTTGGATTTACTGTTAGAACTTTATCTCCACTCCATATACCCAGAATGGCATGTTCTTACATTTATTCCTAAACTTGAAAATATTTACAAATTGCAACAATGTTTTAATTCTCAATTTGGATAATGTAATAGTGTTTGTGTTTTAATTTTCAATTTAGATAAATTGTTTATTATTGTTTATATTGTTTTGTTTACTTGAATTAGGAAAAAAGAATAAGAGAGAGAGAGTTGCCGATTTTTGTTAGTTTGAACAGTGATAAATTTATCAGTGTAAAAAAAATGTCATGTTAGTAAATGAAGGGATCCAAACTTGTTATTAAGCATAAAGTAAGACTGATATCAAAGCCAGATCTGGTAAAAATATAGATAAAAAAGACTGAATTTTCATTTAGTGTATTGTCTGTAATTTTAACATTGTAACAACCAAGCATTATAATATTCATTGAAGTAAAGTACGAACCAAAATGATCAAAATATAGATAAGACTGTAACAACCAAACAAGTCAAATGTATGACGTATTCACATTCTAACAACTAAATGAATCAATGTTTCCTTTTTATTACACTGTAACAACCAAACAAGCAAAATGTTTTCTTTTCTTCTAGATCTGTTGATTAGTGTAACAAACAAACAAGCAAAATCTTTTCTTTTCTTCTAGATCTGTTGATTGCGGAGGCAAGTCATCAATGTTTTCATCAACTATTTATTATTGAGCAGTTTGTTGGTCAGTCAAGAAGATAGTTAATATATCGGCTCTCAATTGATTGCATTTTTCTTTGAAAAAAGTAGACATTATGTTGTTGCTGGAAACATATTGCCTCATGATATAGCAAACAATGATTTCACAATCAAGTTTGCAAAAACATTTTGAAAACAAAAAATTATAATTTGGTTTCCGTTGCATTTTTTTTTATAGGAGTGTTTTGTTATTGAACAACTTACGAAGTGTCTTCTTATTGTGTGCTGTTGATAACTTTCTCTGAATTAGGCAAATTAAGCAAATCTATCATTGTTATAATAATTTTTATCACTGAATTAGGCAAAGTAAGGAAATTCGTCATTGTATAGCAAATGTTATCACTCAATTAGGAAAATTAAGCAAATTTATCATTCTTATTGCAAATTTTATCACTGAATTAGGCAAAGTAAGCAAATCTGTCATTGTATAGCAAATTTTATCACTGAATTAGTAAAAGTAAATAAATCCATCATTGTATGGCAAATGAACATGAAGATATGATTATTTTGAAGTTGAATATCACTAATAAATTAATACTGTATGATACACATTGAAAATAGTTTCAAATTGAATTTTATCACTTAATTATAGCTATGAAAAAAGAAGGGAATCAAATCTATCATTATAACAAATTTTATCACTCAATTAAGAAAATTAAGCAAATCTATCATTCTTATAGCAAATTTTCTCACTGAATTGGGCAAAATAAGCAAATCTGTTATTGTATAGCAAATGAACATGAAGATGTGATTATTATGAAGTTGAATATCACTTAATTATAGTTATAAAAGAAGAATGGAAGATGAATACGATTCACGTTTGATTCGCATGTTTGTTGAAGAAGAAGGGAAGCAAACCCATCATTATAACAACTTTTATCACTCAATTAGGAAAATTAAACAAATCTATCATTCTTATAGCAAATTTTCTCACTGATTTGGGCAAAGTAAGCAAATCTGGCATTGTATAGCAAATTTTATCACTGGATTAACAAAAGTAAGCAAATCTATCATTGTATAGGAAATGAACATGAATATGTGATTATTATGAAGTTGAATATCGCTCATAAATTAATACTGTATTGTACAAATTGAAAATAGCTTCAAGTCGAATTGTATCACTCAATTATAGTTATGAGAGAAGAAGGGAGGCAAATCTATCATTATAACAAATTTTATTACTCAATTAGAAAAATTAAGCAAATCTATTATTCTTATAGCAAATTTTATCATTGAATTGGGCAAAGTAAGCAAATCTGTCATTGTATATTAAATTTTATCACTGAATTAGCAAAAGCAAGCAAACCCATCATTGTATAGCAAATGAACATGAAGATGTGACTATTATGAAGTTGAATATCACTCATAAATTAATACTATATAATACATATTGAAAATAGCTTCAAGTCAAATTTTATTATTCAATTATAGTTATGAAAGAAGAAGGGAAGCAAATACATCGTTATGAAATAAGAAGAGAAGCAAATCCATCATTATAACAAATTTTATCACTCAATTAGGAAAATTAAGCAAACCTATAATTCTTATTGCAAATTTTCTCATTGAATTGGGTAAAGTAAGCAAATCTGTTATTGTATATCAAATTTTATCACTGAATTAGCAAAATTAAGCAAATCTATCATTGTATAGCAAATGAACATGAAGATGTGATTATTATGAAGTTGAATATCAATCATAAATTAATACCGTATGATACACATTGAAAATAGCTTCAAATCGAATTTTATAATTCAATTATAGTTATGAAAGAAGAAGGGAATTAAATCCATCATTATAACAAATTTTATCACTCATTTAAGAAAATTAAGCAAATCTATCATTCTTATAGCAAATTTTCTCACTGAATTGGGCAAAATAAGCAAATCTGTTATTGTATAGCAAATGAACATGGAGATGTGATTATTATGAAGTTGAATATCACTAATAAATTAATATTGTATGATACACATTGAAAATAGTTTCAAACGTTTGATTCGCATGTTTGTTGAAGACGAGCTAAACAGGGAATATAGATCGAAACGGTGGAAGATTTGTTGGGGATCTGTTCAGAATTAGAATATAGATCGAAACAGAGGTGATTTCTTTGGAAACGATGGGAGATTCAGGGAAAATCTCTTCGTTTGTTTCGATTTCCAAATCGCAAATCGCCTCAGAATATTTTCCAAATTAGAACAATTGAGAAGGAGCGTGTGTGTCACGCGCACAGGGGAGAGCTCGTGATATCTTCTTTGCTTCACACATGTGGTGTGACATTGAGGGGTAAAATTGAAAACTGAAATAGGGCAGAACTTGGTGGGTATTAATTTGTTTCAATGGGACCGGCTGGTAAGTCCCCCTTTGGATTATTGGATTGGGGCTACAAGTTTAGTAGTTCCTTAGGCCATGTTTGTTATCCCTCTTAGATGATGAGATTAGATTAAGAGTGAGGTGAGTCCTACTTAAATCGTGTTTGGTTGGAAAAACAATTATGGAACTAGATTAACAATGCTCTATGAGATTGTTAATACTCCCAAAGGGTGGGATTAGTAATCCTATGGGGGAGGTGGGATTCACAACCCGATCCCATGGGATTGAGAGTGAAAAGACAAGACTACCCTCATTTTACAAAAATAATAAAGTAATCATTTGTATAATGAAGACTTTTAAGTAATTTTACACATCCAGTCATAATCAACTAATACCACCACACTAGTACACAAACAAGCCCACTTTATCTTACATCTCCAATTTGATATTATCACGCTAATAATTTCTTCATTCAATCCCACCATATTCATAATTTCATTCAACCTGCCAAACAAATGAGACCTTAGTCTTGGCTTCAAGTTTAGCCGTTCCTTAGTCTTGGCTTCGGCCTCCTTCATAAACCCTCCCCCCCCCAAAAAAAAAAAAAAAAAAAATCTCATATAAAACTAAAATATTTAAAACTATGGTATTTCCCCTTTATATGAGAGTTTTTTTTATTTTTTTTTATTTTTTATGGAAACTTTATTAAAAGGCTAAAATATTAGAATGTGGATTGTTGAAACTTTATTAACATAGGAGGGAATCTGAAATTAAAAGTCAAAGCATATAGGAGGATAGTGCAATTTCAAAAACTTGGGGGACTTTTTTGCAATTGTTATAAACCTCAGGGGAGGTTAGTGTAATGTACCCACACTAAAATTATCAACTTAGGTTAGTCCCATGGTATTAAAGCTCTTGTAATAGACATGGACTCAGGTATGCCCTGCAAGATGATTCTCTCACTTTACAATTGAAATATTTTGACATTACAAACATGATGGCTTCAATTCAAATGGCCAATAATGTGTTGTACTAAAATTTGAAGTATATATATTTTTTCTGCTTTACATCTTTCCATGACGTCAATAGAATCTGATATGCCAAGTGTGGCTTGAATGATGTGACAAAGCTATAGATAATGGTAAATTAGGAATGAGCATGAGAAACTCCAACTGCTGGGTCCATTTCAGAAACACTCGCAGAATCGATTTTCAATATCGGCATCACCAATTCAGGCATTACAGGAGGTTCCATCCTTCGGGTAACTGTCATCTTCAGCCCTTGTGTTGTGTGGATTGTTGCTCCTGTAGTCATTTCAACCTGCAAATAGTTTGATTCTTCAATTAGACTTTGTTAGATATATATAATGAAAAATCAGACAAATTTTGAGCAACCAGTGTCAGTTGATAATGTTAGTGTGTTTTCTACTTCAATTTACAAAAAAAACTTTTGGTGAGTTTCCGGAAGTGGTGGCCAGCAGTGGGGGTGGACAGTGTCACCGAAGGTCACAGGGTGGCCAGATGTCACAGGCAGTGACTGTCTGATTGCCGGAGTCCGCTGAATAGTAGTTGAAAGATGGCCAGAGCTCACCGTAGGGTAGCCCGTGGTGGGTGGTTGTGGCAGCAGTGAGTGGTGGGGGAACGAGGAACGAGTGAAATTTTGTCTCGTAAACAAGTGAGAACACTTTTTTTTTTCGTTTTAAAAGAAAAAAATTTGAAAATTTTGTAATCAATTTCATATTTTTGGAAAAATAAAAAATAAAAAATTCTAGTTTAAAAAAAAAAAATGAAAAGAAAAAACATTACCGAACAAGGTTGTCTGCAAACTAGGGCCACACTGTCATAACAATAGAAGCCCATAAAAAGCTTTACTAGCTTCACTTGTATTATGTCATTTTTACAAAAAGAAATTAGTGACATATAGAAGTACTAAATCAAGTTAATAAGAGTTGGATTGAGTCAGCTAGTCTTTACTCTTACTAGCAAACTCTCAAGCCTCCTCATACCATGTTTGCAAAAATGTACCTAAATATCGCAGAGTTGACCAGTAAGGTACTCTTGACATAATATAGAATAGAAAACATGACTTACCGGAGGTGCTCCAAGAGCCAGTTGAAAATTGAATCGCCGAACAAGCATGGTCACTGCTACTACATTCTGCAAATCAGATGTTAGTTTGGAGTTCTGTTGATCCATGAGAATCAAACATGTTTTTTGTCATCAAATTCTTATCCAAAATGAATACTTGGTGCACATCATGGCAGTAAGTTATCCACTAGCTTTAGAGTACTTGCCTCAAATGTCGCAAACATGTCGCCAACACATTTTCGCGGTCCTCCGCCAAAGGGCAAGTAACTGAAAAGTAAATCCCAGAATAAGGAATTGTAGTAACTGAAAACATCATGTAGAACATTCAAAAAATTCACAGTACATGAGGAAGAAAAGAAACGGGACAGGACGAAAAGAACATGAATAGGTAAACTTTTCAACCTACATGGTGGTGTGAGAGCAGTCACAAATTTCAAATTCATTTATGTGACTACGCCAGCAAAACTTTTGTGCATTTCCTCGTAAAAAGATCCACTATTTCCTGTTTTTTCTTAAACCAAACCAAGCCTTAAGTCCCATAAAATGGGGTCGGCTACAGGAATCCTTCTTCTCCATGCGGCCCTATCAAAGGCCATTTCGTTAGTCAAATTAAGTAGATTCATATCTCTATTTACAACGCTACCCGACGTTAAGCTAGGCCTACCCCGTCTCCTAACACTTCCATCTACCGTTACAGCATCGCATCTCTTTACTACTGCCTCTGTTGGTCTCTGTTGAATATGACCAAACCATCTCAATCGATTCTCTCTCAACTTATCTTCTATTGGTGCTACTCCCACCCATTCCCGAATACACTCATTCCTAATTCTGTCTTGTTTAGTCTTGCCACACATCCACCTTAACATTCCCATCTCAGCCACACTCATCTTACCTACATGTTGTTTCTTGGTTGCTCAACACTCCGTCCCATACAACATTACTAGTCTAATAGCCGTTCTATAGAATTTACCCTTAAGTCTAGTGGGTATTCGTTATCGCACAGTACCCCAGACGTACTTCTCCACTTATACCATCCCGCCTTAATCCTATGGGCCACATCCGCATCAATCTCCCCTACTATTGTGATAATCGAATCTAAATAACAAAAATGTTCACTCTTAAGCAGCTCTTGGTTTTCAATCTTCACTTCTCCTCTGCTTTCATTGTTACTGTTACTAAATTTACACTCTATGTACTCTGTCTTAGTTCTGCTTATCCAGGATCCTTTAGATTTAAAAGTTTTTCTCCAAATCTCCAACTTTGTATTAACTCCTTCTTTAGTCTCATCCACTAGCACTATATCGTCTGCAAAAAGCATACACCATGGCACGTCATCCTGGATATTTCTCGTCAATTCATCCATAACTAAAGCAAAAAGATAAGGACTTAAGGTAGATCCTTGGTGTAACCCTACAGTGATAGAAAATTCATTTGTCTTTCCAGCAGGCGATCTAATAGTGGTCACCACCCTTTCATACATGTCTCTAATCACATCAATGTAACTTTTTGTCACCCATTTCTTCGCTAACACCCACCATATTATATCCTGTGACACTCTATCATATACTTTCTCAAGGTCGATAAACACCATATGAATGTCTCTTTTCTTTTCTCTATACTTTTCTATTACTCTTCTGAAAAGATAGATCGCTTTCATTGTTGACCTGCCTCGCATAAACCCAAATTGACTCTATGACACCTCTGTTATATCTCGCAATCGGCGTTCTATCACTTTCTCCCACACTTTCATTATATGACACATTAGCTTGATTCCTCTATAGTTGCAATTCTGGACATCTCCTTTATTCTTATAGATTGGCACTAAAATACTCTTCCTCCACTCATCTGGCATGTTCCTAGTCAACAAAATTTTACTAAACAACCTAGTCAACCAAGCAACCCTCTTTTTACCCAAACACTTTCAACCTTCAATAGGGATATCATTTGGTCCTAAAACCTTATTTGATTTCATCTTCTTAAGAGCAAACTCCACTTCAAAGTTCTTAATCCTGTGATAGAACCTATAGTCTTGATTTATCGTATTACTAGCTATTTCTTCCCCTATTGACATACCTCCATGTTCCTCATTTAATAGTTTCTCAAAATAGTTCTTCCATCTTTCCTTAATCTCTTCATCCTTCATCAATACCTTAGAATCCTCACTCTTGATGCACTTAACTTAATTAAAATCTCTTGTTTTCCTCTCCCGTATCTTAGCAAGTTTGTATACCCTCTTCTCTCTCTCCTTACTATCTAGTCTAATATATAGGTCATCAAAAGCTTTCAGCTTAACCTCTCTCACTACTTTCTTGACCTCCTTATTAGCCAATCTATAGCTCTTAAGATTTTCCTCAATTCTATCATTTTGCCACATTTTAAAGTACTCTTTTTTTGCCTTAACTACCACTTGAACCTCTCCCCTCCACCAACAAGTTTCCCTAGAGCTAGGTCCCGTTCCTTTCGACTCTCCAAGCACTTCCCTTGAGATTCTCCTCATACAATTAGCCATCGAGTTTCACATAGTGTTAGTGTCACGACCCCATTCCGCCCCTAGTAGAATGGTGCCGTGATGACCAGTAATCCGAGATTACCAAAGGCCAACTTACAAAAATTCACACAACAATCAGAGTATACATATAGGGCCTACATGTGCGAAAGTAATATATTTAAATCTAAGTAGTCCATAAGAGCAGTGCATAGATCAAATGAAATGACATACATCTTAACATGGTTTTACAACTTGGATACAAATAAAATAAAATACATATTACATCTTGATCAAAAGGTTTCTCAAGCTGACATATACAAAAGAAGTGAATTAAAACTAAGAAAACATAATCTTCAAGAGGTTAGCAAAATGAATCCAAAACAACTTGCAAATAACATCTAGGCATCACTGCCTTCTTGATCGCAACCTACATATATATAAGGAGGGGGTGAGCTTGGATACTCAGTGAATGATATTAGTAATAAAGGTTTAAATGAATGATATCCGAGATCTTTATCAAAACAATACATAATCATAGCTTGTAACAAAACATGGGATGAATCAAGTTCATCAATCAAATCTTTCAAATCTTCTTGGGATGTTTAATAACATCTACATAATACATGGGGGATGACATTCCGAACAAAACAAGGGAATAATCGACCCGGAATCGATTAGACAAATCCACCCGCACAAGGCCGTCGATGAGGCCATCCGTACAAGACCGTCGATGGCAGAGATCTCTCAAACATGGTACTACATGGGTTTAAAGTCCCCTTGCATGGGAGGACTTTCCAAGAATGTCATCAAAACAAGATAATACTTGATACAAAAACTAGGGATAATCATTCATGCTTGATCAAATACTTATCCAAAACGAAGCAAAGCTTTATCAAAACTTTATAATATAGCTCTATTAAAAATACCACTCACATGGCTCTTCGGGTGTAAGGATTAAGGCAAGGATCCAAGACCTACAAATACATAATAAAGTCTACTGAATGCACTTCAAGAAGACAAGAAGAGATGCTCAAAGATGGATATGAAATGCATTCTTAAAACAAGCTTTTCATGAGTGCAAATGATCCCGACATTTCTTTCCAAAACCAAGTCAAGAAAAGTAAAACATGCTGGGAGTTAAATCACTGTTTTTCATCTAGGGAAAACATGCTGGATACCAACCAGGGCTTAGAATAGATGTACAGAAATGATTTAGGCAAAAATGACCTAGCTGGGTGAACTCAGGAGGTCTTGGCCGAGGTCCCACACCTCTTGGCCGAGGTGTGGTTACCTAGGCTTCGGTGTGCAGCTGCCTGCTGAGGTGTTACAAGGTGCCGGCAAGGGTGTACCATGGTCGGCCTAGGTGTGAAGTGGTTAGCCTAGGTGTGCATGCAAGATAGACTAAGGTGCAAGTGATCATGCAAGGTTGGCCAAGGTGAGATACGATACTTGGCCTAGGTGTGAGATCTAGGCAAGAGTGGTTTCAGTGACCACACCTGGAGAAATGAGGTCTGGAAATCTGGGTTTCCCCCTTGAAGAACATGAAGAACATGAAGAACATGAATGCTAAAATCATAACTTCTTTATTCAAAATCTGAGATTTCATAAGATGAGTTTGAAAACATGAACCTGGGTACCCATACTTGAAGATCTTATGAAAACAAACACAAAAACATGGATCTTGATACAAGCTTTCGGATCAAAACATGGTTTTCTTTCAAGAACACAAGAACATCATTTTCTCTTTCTAAAACAAGCTTTAAATCAATGCATGGCTCATGAATCATGCTAGATCAGGCAATGTGATCGGATTAATATAAAGAACAACAAGAGTAGATTAAGAATCTAACCTCAAAACACGAATCTAACGGTTCAAGGTGTGAAGATCAAGCTTGGAAATCTAGTTCTCTCTCTAAGAACTTCTTCTTCCCTCTTCCTAGAGCTTCTCTCTCTATAAAGGCAAAGATATGACAAATGATGTGGGTTTCTCTACTGCCAGCAGACTTAACCCTCTGCTGGGACACGTGGCAAAGACTGGTTGACTCTCTTAAAAAAGGTGACAGAATGACAAGACAAGTGTATATAACAAGTAAGGTGACATGGGCACTCCGGCATGTAATGATCTCGGATTAGGACATAGGCTTCGGCAAGTAAGGTCTCAATGATCTCGGCTAGGAAGGATAACACTTGGCCTAACTGTGCCACACCTCGGCCTAGATGTGCCACACCTCGGTCTAGGTCATTCCAGTCCCGGAACAAGATCACTAGGTGCAAGGATCAAGGATCTAGGACGCCTAGATGATAACATCTTGGCCTAGATGATACACATCTCGGCTTAGGTGATGCACATCTCGGCCAATATGCCAAGGTGAAGGTGGAGGTCAACCAAAGTGATTCCAAGATGGTCCTAGGTTTAACATGACCTAAGCTTGGCATGACCTAGGCTTGACATGACCTAGGCTTAAGATAGCAAGGAAAGAACAAAGCATGCATACAACACTTAGGCAAATCACATAAGCACAAAACAAGACAGGGACCTTTACTTAGGCAAAACAAGTCAAAGTCTACAAATGCAAGCTTAACAAGACAAAATCATGCAAATGCACATGAACATGACTAAAACATGAATGTGGGCTATTACAGTTAGTATCATCTTCCAAGTCCCAAGTACCTTCCTTATCCATTCTATTCTTAAATATTTCTAATTTATCCCCTTTTAGGTCCCACAATCTCGTCCTACGATGCCCACCATCCTTCTTAGCTTGGTATTGCCCTTTAAAACATAAATCTAGTACCAAACTCCTATGTTGAAAGGACAGGCTCTCTCCAGGAATCACCTTACAATCATTGCATTTTAGGCAGTCCACTTTTCTCACTAAGAAGTAATCTATTTGGCTCTTAACTGACCCACTCTCAAAGGTTATCAAATGCTCCTCCCTCTTCTTATACATAGTATTAGCCACCACTAGGTCAGAAGCCAACGCAAAATCTAAAATACTCTCTCTAGCCTCATTTTTGTCACCAAAACCATATCCACCATGCACCCTTTCATAGCCTGATTTATCTATGCTTACATAACCATTAAAATCTCCACCAATAACCAGATTCTCTCCTACGGGTATCTCCAGTAAGATCTCATCCATTTGCTCCCAAAAATCACTCTTAGTCTGATCATCTAATCCTACTTGAGGGGCGTACGCACTAATAACGTTCACTATATTCCCTCCAATAATTAGTTTAACTAACATAATCCTATCCCCTTTCCTAATGACCGCTACTACATTCTCCACAAGACCCTTGGCAATTAAGATTCCTACCCCATTCCTGCGTCTATCCTTACCACTATAATACAATTTAAAACCGGTATCCTCAATTTCCCTAGCTTTCTCACTCGTCTACTTAGTTTCTTATACGCAAGCTATACTAACTCTCTTCCTAATTATAACATCTACCAACTCCGTCATCTTATCAGTTAAGGTTCTTATATTCCAAGTGGCTACCCTAAACCGATAGTCTTGGACTAGCTTCTTTACTTGCGCTCGTCCAGAAAAACGCAAGAACCTTTGCCCATTTTTCACCGCACCCAGGCGTCGATGCAGCACCCCTTGCTTACTTTTCGAAACACCCGGGGGCAGGCACAACGCGTCACTTGAGGGAAACGACCTAACATTTAAACGATTCAAAGTAGGATTCATTGTCATAAGGGATCCAAGCGGCTTTTTACGTGTTGGTTGTCGGCTACCTAACACACAACCCTCCTCCTTCACCCGGGCTTAGGACCGGCGGAGTTGTTAACAACCCTGACAGAGTTATTTCCTGTTTTTTCCTAATGAAAGAAAAAAAATTTATGCTTTCCACATGCTAGTATTACCAAAAATGAAGAGAAAAAAGCAATATATTAATAAATAAATAGATAATTAACATCAAAATAAGACAATGTAATGATTCATTTTCCATTACTTTAATTTCTCACTTCTTTTCTGCCACCAAAGTTTTTCTCCTTCAATATTTAATCATAACGATCGCAGTGAAGTATAGAGATGCCTCTCTCTAATCTGCCTTAACCGGATCTTCAGCACATGCTAATCATTAAATGCCCCCCCCCCCCCCCAAAAACACCCCTCACCCCAACAACTTCAGCGCAACATTGTGCAGATAAGGGCTGACAAGTGGCATGATATGGGGGAAGAAATGGGAGAAAACTGTGTAAGGCATAAATGTCATTTTAGAATATTAACAAGTCACATTTTGAACAAAAAATCAAGTTTTCACGAGTGGGTCTCACGTGCTGTTAGTTTTTTGGTATTGACCCAAGGAGGTTCAATGTCACATACCAAATTGGCCTAACCACAAGGGGAGAAAGTCTATTTTTATTTTTATTTTTGACAAGTCACAAGGGGAGAAAGTCAAATGAACCCCTTTTTTGGGGAAGGAGGGGGGCGGGTTGTTGCTTACTCTGCATTTGCGGACCTCAGAATCTAGACCAAATTGACAATCTCAAAAATTATGCTTAGTGCAAAACTTGCACATGTAAAGCATACAACAGAATTGAATTGGAAACATGCAAGGCCATTAAAAAGTAAATCCATGCTTCATACATTGGTAATTATGGTAATTCAAACATAGAAATAAATAATGGCATTTTTTTTCCTTTAAAAAAAATATGTATTTTAAGGATTGACTTCTGTACACAGTCCTTGGCTTACTTTCAGAAGAAGCATAGTAAGGCAATTCCCTATTAATCAATTCTACCTATCTACCATTTTACTTATTCTTTGAGTCAATTGGCAGAATTTTGTACAAGGCGGTGTTACGGCAACCTTTTTACACAGGAGCTTCTATTTACACACCACAAAACTTCTCCGTTCATACCAATTTTTTGTTTGAATATCAATGACCAAACAAAAATCCAAGGTTCAAATATCAACTACTGAACGAAAACCCAGATTGGTTTGATTATCCAAACAATTAATAATTGTTAAACAATTGATATAATCCGATCAATTAATAATTGTTCAACAATTGATATCCAAATAAACGATTTTGGTTCGGCGGTTGATATCCAAATAGACAAAATGGTGTGAGTTGAGAAAAAGATGGTGGGCAAATATAAGCTCTCTTTTTGCAACTCCCTGTTTCTTTTATTTGGTTATATATAAATAGCGACAAATTAAAACTTTCTTATCCACTTATGGTCTGTAGAAAGCGCCCACATGTTAGTATTGTTATTTTTAATAACATTTTATTGACATTACATTAAACGTTTAGCTGACCAACAACTTCAATAATTTTGTTAATAATAGTTTAGTCCGTTTGCATATAAAAGAATTCAACAACTTTTAAGACTTTAAATGCTTATATGACAAACTGGAAGACAAGATTAAATGGCATAAATAGAATGATTTCAAACACTGGAACTAGCAGAAATAATGATGTACCTGCCAACACCCTTGTGGCAAGTTAGCATGCAGCTGCAACTTAGGTAGTAGTGAGGAAAGGTCAGGGGGTCGAATTGATGGAATAGCGACAGCCCCTTTAAGTGGTACATATCTGTACACTAACTTTACTAACAAACTAACAACTCTAACTTCCTAGAATGTTGACCCAAAAAAAAAAAAATGATGTACCTGAAATTTTGGTTTGTCTCATTTGGATTAGGTCCATCTAGAGGCCATCTTTCAGGATTAAACTTATCTGCATCTTTCCAATGATTTGGGCAGCGATGCAAGTTCCAAACAGAAATAAAAATATCTTCATCTCTGGCATAAAAAGATGAACTTCAACATTTTAATAAGATTCTCATTCTTTTACTTAAAGCACTAGAATACTGAAAATTTGCAATAAAAAATTGCAGCAACGACAGATAAAAATCATAAATGAAGAATTGGGGAACATCAGATACCAAAATACGAGTGTGAATTTTTACAATTGAGGAGAAAAAATAAAGATGAATTCCGAATATTACAACGAAAAAGATGAGTGTGAATGATTTAAAACATTTATTGAAATGGAATCAGGCCCAAACCTCAAATACAACATGTAAATGCATTTGGGAGTGTAAATATATTATTCAGGTTGTATTGATGAGTCACAGGACAAGATGATAAACAGAAAAATAATACCGAAAAAAAGAAAGAAAAATCTTCATGAATCTAAACACAAAACCTTCAAAAAACCTTGCATCCAAAATTTACCAGAATTCCCAACTTGTTTGGTTTAACTCACTTTTCAAAAAATTGAGTTTTTAGTTTTCCGTGTTTTTTTTTTTTTTAAATTGAGTTTTTAGTTTGTGTTTTTTTTTTTTTTTTTAGTGACTTCTTTTTAATTTTACACTTTTTTTCAAAAAAAAATTAGGTACACCTAATCTAGATACACTAAACAAATATAATATTTGTAAATAAAAAAAAATATAAAAAATTACAAAATTCACCAAATTCAAAAAATTCAAAAAATACAGAAATTCAACACATTTTCGTTTTTTGTTGTATTCAATGAATTTTTTTTAATATTTTTGTACAAATTGTATACTTTTAAGTATACCAAGATTAAGTTGATAAAAAAAAGTAAGAAAATTTTGATTAAAATATTTCAAAAAATCATTAAAAATACAAAAATCCGAATTGAAATCTTAAAAAACTGTTTTTGAAAACTCCAAACCAAATAGTAGGAAACCCTCATGTGGAAACCCCCCTCACACATGAGAGATAGGCAACAAAGTAGATGCAAACTCACAAACATAAAGGGATGCAAACAGACAATATTACAATTGGTGAATGACACACAGTATCAAATCCACAATCTTCTTGTAACCAAAGCTCTAATTCCATAATAGATTTATCACATGCCCATCATATATCAAATGCTCACATAGTAGATGACTTAATAATGATAGGAATGAATTATATATATGTGTCTGTGTGTGTGTTTGTAATACAGTCGAAACACATATATATAAGCTAACCATATTATTTGGATTGATTAGTATTTAGATCTAACCTTTTGATTGGATACTTCCCAAGAATGTCATCTTCAAGAGAACGACGGATCAAAACAGGAGGTTGCGGATAGAGTCTCAAGGACTGGAAAGATAGAAGGAAAATAGATAGTTAAATAGAGAGATATGAACACTAAAGTTGCAAAGTAAAAAATATTCACTATTTCAGTAACAAAAACAAGATCAACACACATATTCTTACTTCATTGATTACTCGTGTGGTGTATTTGAGTTTCTTCATGTCCTCAATGGTTGGAAACCGGTCTCCTAGAACCGAATCAACCTACAAACAAGAATATAATTTAAAAACCAGGTCATATTTATTTAAATTAATCAAAAAGGACAATATTGATAATATCACAGTGCTATTAATGAGACAAGTCAGTAGTTTACCTCATTTTGAAGCTTGGACATGACACTAGGCTCCTGTAGCCATAAAAAACGAAAAATAAGAGAATTTTTATTTAAGTTGACATTCATGCCACCAGAAGAAAATGTTATATTAGCAAACCTGGTTTACAAAGCACACATGAAAGAGAAATATGCTTAACAAAATAAACAAACATAAATAGATTGTTGGGCCACAGAACAGATTGTTGGGCCACAGAGCCTCTGATTCCCCTTACTGTGCAATCACCAATAAAAATAAAAATAAAAATAAAGACAACTTTAAGTGGTTCAGAAAAACCTACCTACCTCCATGGATGAGAAACAATTTGATTATAATCAGAGCCAAATAACAGTGGTAGAGGTCTTAGACGAGATAAATACAAAACACTCAAACAATGCCCTAACCTAAGCCATGTGGCTACCGGCTGCCCACCATGGTCACATTGATGTTAAGAGTCCTGCTCATTCAGGTGTTCTCCACCTCAAATCTCACCACTTACAACCCTCATTAGGCTTTTCTCTAATAACTTTCAACTAGATACATAGGTGCATTTTTATAATGTCTTTAAAAGCCAAGTTTCTTGTTGGACAAGGAATATAATAACTCAATATCCAAATTTCCTAAAAATGAACTCTATAAAGTGATCCAAAATTACATATAAGAATTCAAGATGCTATTCGATATAGATATATATAATAAAGTGTTTAAGACTTATAGGAAAGATAATCAAAAGTGTTGTATCATTAGCTTATCTAGGCGCAGATTTAGAACCTGTCAACAAGGAAAGCTCTGATACCACTTGTTGAGGTACCAAGCAGGCAAGACACTACTATGACTTCTTGGGCCCAAAAGCTTTTATACCAGTAGCCAAGTGCCAAGCACTTCTCTACCACTTAATACGTTGTGAATCGAGAATACAGACCAAGATGCCCACAATGAAATTAATTTGCAAAATACCTACATGCTGTGAGTTTAGAGATGATGATGATAATAATAATAATAATAATAATGCATTAAGCTCTAATTATCTACAATACAAGAGTTGGTTTACACAAAATAAATAGATAACAAAGCCCTATAACCTGCCTATATACATGGATAAAGTAAGGCCAATCCACTATAGACAAAAAATTATAGATGTGACAGATATACAGAACGCATAAAACTGACACCTATACTCAAGAGGCAAGCCCCTCTAGTAATAGATTTTTCAAGCAATTCCAACCATAGATTTCTCAAAACAACTCTTGAAATAAAACAACTAAACTGGAATTAGAACTTGAAATAAATATAATAGAACTGAAAGCACAAATGGTCCCTGTATAAGAAATACAAAATGCTCATAAGAGAACTACCAGATAGTTTATGACTGCTATATGATATATGTGTAAGAATATATTAGTTGAGTTATTATTCTATTGTAATTATTCTATTGTAATTATTCTATACCTTAGGGCTTCCATGTAATTATTAATCTTCATTAATATAAAAGGGAATGATATCACAATCCCTAGCCCATCCCTTCGTTGCTTTTCTCCTCTTCTGCCAGCAGTTTCTCCTCTTCTGCCAGCAGTCCCTTTCTCAGACACAGTCGTCGGCAGTCCCTTTCTCAGACACAGTCGTCGGCAGTCCTTTCTCTCCCACAGTCCAGTCAGCCCCTCACCCAGCCACCTACAGTCGACCCAAAGCTCTGACCCCCTTGCACAGGTCTTTGGCCCTCCTAGGCTCCCTGACAGCCTCTTAGGCTCAGACGGTTGTCTCTCAGCTCTTCTAGGGGTCTGTCAGCAGTCTCTCTGGCCTTCTAGGGGCCTGTTGGCAGTCCTTCTGGCCTTCTTGCCCCCTGTCGGCAACCCCTCAGGCCTCCCCCTGCCGAGAGCTCTTCCTTGGTCCTCTGCCTCTGTCAGCCAGCCTCTATTGGATTTCGTCTTCTGTCTATAATGTTTGTTCCTTAAACATTCTTTAAACAGCTTTGACCTAAAAAAAAATTAAAAAAATCTGGATTCTTAGGCCTCGTTTGGCAAAAGACTATTTTAGCCAATTAGTCAAAAAGTTACTAAATTAGCCAAAAAGCCAACAACCCATACCAAAAAGTCAAAGATTCTCTTTTCTCTCTACTTTTTGCACATCTTTTCGTAATTAGCCAAAAAGTCATCCCAAACATACAAGTTTTTTTTACCTACCTTTTTAGCCAAATAGCCAAAAAATTACTAAATTAGCCTGTTCCCAAACGAGGCCTTAATTCTTTATGTTTTTCTAGTTACTATTGTGCTTATATTCTTCCACCTTCCAGGTTTGTGATTGGCACTAGTTTTGTTGAGGGTTCGGTCGTACAGTATCCATGGCAAATTCCACCAGTGTGTCCACTACTTCTCAGACACCTCGGAGTGAGAGTTCCATTATACCTACTACTATGACTGATAACCCCAACCCTAGTCTTAAAATCACCACCTCTCTATTTAATGGTCATAACTATCTAGTGTGGTAGCAGAGTTTGACTATGTTTTTGAAGAGTAGAAGGAAGATGGGGTATGTTGATGGCAGGATACAGGCACCCAGCACCACTAACCCGGGTTATAACCAATAAGAGATTACCAACCCTTTGATTATGAGTTGGCTTATTCATTCGATGATACCAGAAATTGGTGAGGGCTACTTGTCTATAGATTCTACCTAGGTTATTTGGGATACTGTGGTTGCCACCTATTCTCGCAAATGGAATTTCTTACCAGCATTTGAGTTGCGCCACTCTATTGAGAGCTCTGTTCAAGGGGAGCAGACTATTCTCCAGTACTTCACCTTTCTCACCACTGGCTGGAAATGCCTTGATCACCTACAGGACTATAAGCCTGTTTGTACTACTAATTCAGTCGAATACAGGAAGTTCATTACACAGGAACGAATCTTCAAGTTCTTGGTAGGTCTCAATGTGGAGTATTATCCGGTTCGGAGTCGAGTTCTAGGTATGGACACTCTTCCTTCCCTCCAGGAGGCATTCGCCTATGTCCAGAATGAGGAGAGGCGCTGGTCTACTTTGATGTCACCTGTCTCTACTGACCGCTCAACATTACTGTCTACCCCTAGAGATGGCCTCAATCTATTCCTCCGTCTGCCGCCAAGGGGTCTATATGCTACGATTACTATCGCAAGTCGTGGCATAATCGTGAGATGTGTTGGAAGCTTCATGGGACTATCCGGGGGTTGCGGTGATCGGTCTAGTTCTACAGGAGGTCAGTCAAGCCAGTCTAGAGGACGCGACTCTCATCCACGGGCTTATCAGTCTAGTGCCGTTAATACACTTGATTCTACTTCCGCTTCCATTGGCCAGGCTTCTGATGGTCTCTCTGGCATAACTACTCATGAGCTTGAGGATGTTCTGCGTCACTTGTTGGACCGCCGATCTTCTATTGCTTTTAGTACATCTTCCTCGTCGTTTGCCCGTTCAAGTAACTTAACCTCTTCTTCTCGTGTTTTTCTTTCTCATAAGTCTTTGCCCTGAATTATGGACTCTGGTGCCTCAGATCATATGTCTGGGTCCTCTGACCTTTTCTCTGCCTATAAGCCCTCTTCAAATCAGAACAAAGTTAAGATTGCAGATGGTACTGTATCTTTTATTTCTGAGAAAAGTTTAGTCAATGTCACTCCTACCATCCCTTTATCTTCTATTCTCCATGTTCTCAATTTTTCTATTAACTTGTTATCCTTGAGTCCTATTACAAAGGATTTGAATGGTAGTGTGATTTTTTTTCCCAATCATTGTCTTTTTCAGGACCTTGACCTTGTCACAAGGAGAACGATTGGCAGTGGTAGTGCAGAAAATGGTCTCTACTTCCTGGATCAACAGGGCAAGCTTGCTCATTCTTCCACCACAAGTCCTTCTACTAAAAGGATTTATGGTTGTGGCATCGGCGTCTTGGACATTCTTCTTTTTATTTACTTAAGCATTTATTTCCATCTGTTTTTGCAAACAATAATGTGTCCGAGTTTCTTTGTGAGCTTATCAACTTGAAAAACAACACAGAGTTTCTTTTGCTCCCAGTTTTAATAAAAGTTTAGTTCCTTTTTCATTAATACATTCTGATGTCTGGGGTCCATCTGGTATTATGTTTGTGAAAGGTCATCGATGGTTTGTTACATTTATTGATGATTTTTCTCGCACTACTTGGGTGTATCTCATGAAAGACAAAAGTGAGGTTTTCTCTATGTTCCGCAATTTTCATAAGATGATTTGCACTCAGTTTGGGGCCACTATCAAAATCTTCCGTTCTGATAATGGAGGGAATACATAAATTCTGGGTTAGGGTAATATTTTTATGCCCATGGCATTATCCATCAGACCTCTTGCACCAATATCCCTTTACAAAATGGGGTGGTGGAACACAAGAATTGTTATCTTCTTAACATGGCTCAGTGCATGTGTTTTTCTACGAGTGTCCCTCGGTCCTACTGGGGCGACACTGCTCCTATTGCTGCCCATCTTATTAATCGTCTTCCTGCCTAAGTCCTCCTAGGCTCCGAGTCCTTATTTTCTATTCCACCCAAAATGTTTGGCTATGTCTGTTTTGTCCACAACCACTCTCCTATTCGTGGTAAGTTAAGCCCTCGCTCCCTCAAATGTGTTGTCCTTAGGTACTCTCCTACTCAAAAGAGGTATAAGTGTTATCACCTTCCTTCTCGTAAGTGGTTTGTGTCCATGGATGTGTCCTTTTTTGAGTCCCAATCCTATTTCTTGTCCTATCTGGAGTCACAGTCCTCCCTTCAGAGGAGCCTTGGTATGAAGTGATTCCTATGATTCTTGTGGTGGAACCAGTTGTTCTTGCACCACCACCTCTTAGTGGGACAACAGAACCCAATGTCATTAAGGATAGGGAAGGGCAAGTTTATATCAGGGACAAAGACAGACAAAAAATTAACTGGATACAAGAGACCATTTTTGCTCACCCACTGCCATCTCTTGCTTTTGATGAGAGTCCAAGTACCTTTGAATCTCTTAAGTCCACTGATCTTGATACTCCTATTGATCTTGATGTTCCTATTGCCAAGAGAAAGGGTGTGAGATCTTGTACTCAATATCATATCTCAAATTTTGTGTCCTACTCTCATTTGTCATCCTCATATAGAACTTTTGTGTCAAATATTTCCTCTATTAGCATTCCTAATCATTTTTTAGGATGCTCTTACTACCTCTAAGTGAAAACTTACCATGATTGAGGAAATGAATGTATTTAGGAAGAATGACACTTGGAAATTGACTGAGTTATCTAAGGGAAAACAACCTGTGGGATGCAAACGGGTATATATTGTGAAACACAAAACAGATGGTTCTATTGAGCGTTACAAGGCTAGACTTGCGGCAAAAGGGTTCACTCAAACATATAGCGTTGACTATCAGGAGACCTTTGCACCCCTGGCTAAGATGAATTCAATCAGAGTACTTCTCTCTCTAGCAGCTAATCTAAATTAGCCACTTCATCAGTTTGACGTAAAGAATGCCTTTCTCTATAGTGACCTCGAAGAAGAGGTATATATGGACATTCTTCCTGATTTTGAGAATCATCAAACAGAGGGTAACGTATGTCGGCTTCGGAAGTCATTATATGGTCTCAAACAGTCTCCAAGGGCTTGGTTTGAGAGATTCACTTAGAATATGCTTAAATATGGCTTCAAACAGAGTCAGGTAGATCACACCTTATTTGTGAAACATTCCTCACGTGGTAAGACTACAACGCTCATTGTTTAAGTGGATGACATAGTTCTTACAGGTGATGATAGTGAGAAAATACATTTGTTGAAGAAATATTTAGCGAGTTTGAAATCAAAGACTTAGGGAGTTTGAAGTATTTTCTGGGAATTGAACTTGCTCGCTCTGAGGATGGGATATTTATCTCACAGAGAAAGTATGTGCTTGCCCTATTGAAGGAAACTGGGATGCTTAGCTGCAAGGCCTATGACACTCCAATCAGAAACTAGGGGATGATGAAGGAGGAGCAGCTGTTGATAGGAGAAACTATCAGCATTTAGTGCGTAAGCTCATCTACCTGTCTCACTCCCGTCCTGATATTGTTGTTGTTGTCAGTGTAGTTAGTCAGTTTATGCATGCTCCTCATTAGATTCACTTCGAGGCTATCATAAGAATTTTGAGGTACTTGAAGTCTGCTCCTGGTAAGGGTCTTTATTTTTCAAAGCATGATCATCTTCATGTGGAAGCCTATACAGATGTTGACTGGGTTGGATCAATAACTGATAGGAGATCGACTTCGAGGTATTGCACCTTTGTTGGAGGCAACCTAGTTACTTGGAGGAGTAAGAAACAGAATGTGGTTGCCAGGTCAAGTGCAGAAGCTGAGTTTAGAGCTAAAGCACAAGGGGTGTATGAGCTCTTATGGATCAAGTTATTGTTGAGTGATCTAGGTATTGATCAGACGGACTCCATGCGGTTATACTATGATAATAAGGCCGCCATCAACATCCCTCACAATCCAGTTCAATATGATGGGACAAAGCATGTTGAGATTGATCACCACTTCATTAAGGAGAAACTCACTAGCAGCATAATATGTATTCCATTTGTGCAATCTGGTGAACAACTCGCTGACATCCTCACCAAGAGAGTTGGGAGTAAACCATTGCATGACATCCTAGGCAAGCTGGGCATGAGAGATATCTTCTCACCAGCTTGAGGGAGAGTGTTAGAATATATTAGTTAGGTTATTATTCTATTGTAATTATTCTATGCCTTAGGGCTTCCTTATAATTATTAATCTTCATTAATATAAAAGGGAATGATATCACAATCATACCCTAATCTCTTTTCTTCTCTATACTTACAATATGTTAATAATTTAATTACCTCAATAAACACCTGAAAGAGTAGCTAAAATAGATGTTCTAAAATCTATAAATTTTCGTATGTTTTGTGACAAACTTCAATCTACAAAACATGTAAGCATGCATGCCAATAATGAAAGGTCATGTATTATCATAATATAAACACAAAAACCAGCTCTGATTAAGCCTCGACTAAACAGGCCCGTCTATGTACCTTTGAAAGAAGATAAAAAGTCCATGTCAGCACTGCAGCAGATGTTTCATGTCCAGCTATAAGCATTGTCATCAAATCATCACGGAGTTGCTTGCTAGAAACCTACAAATAGGCCCACGGAAAATCTCAAATCAGTTGAGTAGGCAACAGACACTTTCATGACAAATGAATAATGTCATACATCATCTCCTGATGCCAACAGAAAGTGGAGAATACTAGGATCTTGTTCATTCATGTACTCCTCGTGAAACTGCAACTCCTCTTCTTCTACCATCCTCTGCAATTCCATTATGGGGTGATGAGAGATCAAAATGAAATTAAGCCACAACTTGTAATTGAAAGATCCCTAATACTAATCAAAACATTTATGTTGCGACCATACCACTCTCTTTATTCTTTAATTTTAAATTTTTACTTTATTTATTTATTTATTTTTGGGTAAAAATCACAACCACAAACTCAATATAGGAGTATTTCATAATTTTTTATTTTAAAAAAGAAAAACAAGATAAAAAAATTAAAAAAATTAAAAAGAACAATTTTAAACATGCTCAAGTAACCAGAAATTCATGGTAATCAAAACAGGCACAATGCTGTTGGATGGCAGATTATGGCAAAGCAGGATGTATCTTTACTCAGATGAAGCACATATAATTGATTCAATATTCACAAACTTACAAACCTATAAAATGTAAGTAAAAGAATGTTAGTAGCAAATTTTGTAGGCTTAAAGGATCTAAAATTGAAGAAAAATTACATTTTATTGCAGATTGCAAGCTCTTATATAAAATAAAATTGCACTTACTATTTTTTACTTCATATTGTCAATGCTTATTACTTAAAAATATGCTGAAGCACATGCACAAGCACACGCACATCACCCATAATTGTTTATTTCAAAACAGTAGCCAGTTAACTACTTTCCAATTTGAAATGCCAAAACTAGTCATCCTACAATAGTGGTATGTATAATAGACCCAAAAACAAACCCTAGTATGGGTGGCTTCTGGCAAATCTTCAATCATAGATATTTCCATGTATATCAAACAACAAGGGGCTGGGTCAACTATTCAATCAAATGATATTGATCATGTTTCTCATCTCTTCTCAAGAAACAAGTGGGCTATTTCTTTACAAAATTGTGCTCAATTTCATATGTGGCACATATGTATATGACAATTATACACAAAGGAAGAACAAAACACTACAACTATACAATACTCCCACAACTGACATTGAAATGTTCACCTTACACATTGCAATCAGATCATCAAGTGTTTCATTGATCAGCTTGAGTGCAGCAGTGACCCTTTTTTGCTGTGGTGATATGTCTTTGAATATGGGAATATCCCAGTATGGAAGTGGTGCAACACTTCGATCTTCTGCTTCTCGCAAGACAGTGTATACAGCCTGGCCAAACCAAAATATAAAACACAAATGCATGGTTTGTTAGCTTTAACTAAAAAAACATTAGCTGAACATCAGAAAATAACTGACACTTCAAAAACAAGAAGGAAGTTCAATAAAATAAAGAAAATATGCACGTAAAAGACAATACCTCAACTATCCCAGTATCATTTGTTAACGAATCAAAATCATAATTAAATAATGCTTTTCCGATAATATCCAATGTCAAACGAGAGAAAAGTGATTCCATCTCTACGTCTTCCCTGTTGGATGCGGCAGCATCAAGCTTTTGGCACAGTCTATCTGTAGCTTTTCCAAATAAGCTAATCATTGCTGCAACATACTAGAATTGGAAATTGCAAAAGGATAAGAACAGTACAAAATGACAAGATTTTATCTTTGGATAGAAGCTGGGACAATAAAACAGGTAAAACTCAAGGAATTTATACCAAGAACAAAACAAAAGGGAACCACAGCAAACCTATGAAGCCATCGTGATACCTTTTGATGCAATGCTGGGACTATAGCACGTCGTCTAACACGCCATATCTCCCCATCAGCTGGGATAAGACCCTTTCCCATAACAAATTCTAAAATTTCTGCCAGAACACCCTGAAGACCGTGGAGATAGAAAGACAATTCAAAAATTGACAGCAGATTCCTGATTGTTAAATACATAAAGATTTGGCAACCCTGTTGCTTTACCTTTGAATAAGCCTTTGAGTTGTCCCTTAATATATGTTTCGCGATGGAAGGATCAGAAACTATCAAAAAGGACTGCAGCAAACGTTTAAAAATGACTTATCAAACACTTGTATCAGACAGACACTTTTGCTCCTAAAGTTTCATAAGATTTAATTATTCCCATTTCAAATGGGAAAGGACACAAACAAATAAGAAGAATCACACCTTGGGCCCAAATGTCAACCTGAAGATTCCGCCATAGGTGAGGAAAAGCTCATAAAGGGGAACAAAGAAGGCCTCGCTCCGAATGGCACTAATTGCACCCTTTGCCTCAGGAATCTTAGGATAGTCTTTGGGAGCATCAATCCATTTAAATAGGAACTCAAGCATGCCACTAGAAATGCCCAGCTTTGACAAACAGCTCTTTATAAGAGATGGAAAACTTACTCCAAAGCAAAACACAAATGAAACGAGAAACCCAATAAGAAACTAAAAACCAAGTACATGCATTTTCACAAAATATAAAAAATAAGAAAGGGCATTAGAAGATTTTTAAAAATAAAAAATAAAATAAAAATAAAAAATTGTACACACTTGAAAAAATAACGGGTATGTTTGGTTTGGCTTTGTAGAATGATTTGGGAAAAATTTTCTAAAAAACTTGTTTGGTTTGTAATTTTTCCAAACCAATTTTCAAAATTACTCTCTCTCTCTTATACATCAATCAATCACTTTTTCTCTCTCCTCTCTCCTCAATTAGTTTTTCTCTCACACACATCTACTCAATTACAACAAACTATCAAATCATTCCAAACTCCCAAACTACTTTCAAAATACACAACCAAACAAACCAAAAATATTTCTAAACTCTCACCCCAAAACAGTTTTTAAAAACTACTCTCTCAAAACCAAACCAAACATACCCAACAATTTTAAAACACCCTGGTGATACTTTACATAGACAAACCAAAGAACAACAATGGCCTCCTTTAATTGTGCCATTTAACACCAAAATTTAACTATACCTGGATGATTCTTTTACTTCAATCAATGAAAGGCAAACCAATCATCCAGAGAAGCATGACCTGTTGGACAATTTTCAAAAATATTCAAGGTTTTCAAATGGGTTTTGTTGAAAGCGAATGAAAGGATGTTCATTTGTCCCACATTGGACATAAAGGAAACCAACTATGGGTAGAAAAAAAAAAAAGAGTGGTTTCCTAATAAATCAAATGTGTTTGATTCGGTACATTATGGCGGTGCAATGCACCACCTGTGCACATGCAATGGGGTGAGGGCATCGTGTGATTCAGGGAACTTTGAAACGCACTTTGCACATATGCATTGTCACTAGCAGTGTAGGAGCCTTTAGTTTTGGCTACGTAAACCGATCAGACGATTGAAACTTGATCAGAATGATAAAACCTGAACGATGTAATCTGGCTGTTAGATCCGCTCACAAAAGTTGGTAAGGGTCATGCCTTATTGCTTGTGATAGGGTGTGAAATCTGGATTGTAGAATTTGAACATTATAAATGGGACGCGATCCAATGGCTACTGAAGCATGACTCAACAAAAGCATCTGTTCATAAGCATTCATGAATTTGTCTAGAAATAGAGTTACAGAACTCTATTTTGAATATCAATTTTTTTTGTGCTTTCTATCACCAAATTTCCCAACAGCTTGAGCTTTTAAAAAATGGGCCCAACAATGTATATCATGCTATCCAACACCCTCTCTCTCACGTAGAATTCCATCTCGCACGTGGAGAGACAAAAGAAAGAAATAACCAAATAGTGAAGAAGAAACCAAATGGGGGACAAAACACCAAAAAGCCAACGGAGAGAACCCAAGATCTCCTCAACATAAGCCTTTGACATCATGTAAGTCACCGATTTTCCCAAAAGCTTAAGCTATTAAGAAAAAGACCCAATAAAGTATACCAAGCTATCCACCACTTTCATCATATTCTTCTTTGTCAGTTGGCATTATCAGTTTATACAACAAGAGAGTTCTAGGTTTGATCAGAGCATACATATTCTGAATCAAACTCCATCGATAAAGTTGCATTGCATAGTTTTCACAACTTGGTTGAGTACTCGTTGTTCAATCCCAAAGGGGGAAAATATTGCCTACAACACAGCGCCTTATACTTTCTAGTTCTTCCATTCTTCCTTCTTTATAATTTAAATTCCCACATGACCTGCTATAATTGTACACAAGCTAAGGCTAAACATATATATAGCTTCTTTAACTTTCAAGGTAACCATTGTCAACAATGTCAATTACATAGCAACGCAGGAAAAAGAAAAGTGCCATATTTCTCCCCTTTTTATTTAATTAATTAAAATATACTTTCACCTTGGATTCTCATATAGAAAAAAGAATAAACCCAGCACCAATATAATAGTCTGAAATGGGAACTTCCTAGACGTCTCTCTATGCTAATTTAAGCATGAAAATAATACGAATGGCACTAATTGCACCCTTTGCCTCAGGAATCTTAGGATAGTCTTTGGGAGCATCAATCCATTTAAATAGGAACTCAAGCATGCCACTAGAAATGCCCAGCTTTGACAAACAGCTCTTTATAAGAGATGGAAAACTTACTCCAAAGCAAAACACAAATGAAACGAGAAACTCAATAAGAAACTAAAAACCAATTACACGCGTTTTCACAAAATATAATAAATAAGAAAGGGCATCAGAAGATTTTAAAAAATAAAAATTAAAAAATTGTACACACTTGAAAAAATAACAATTTTAAAACACCCTAGTGATACTTTACATAGACAAACCAAAGAACAACAATGGCCTCCTTTAATTGTGCCGTTTAACACCAAAATTTAACTATACCTAGATGATTCTTTTACTTCAATCAGTGAAAGACAAACCAATCATCCAGAGAAGCATGACCTGTTGGACAATTTTCAAAAATATTCAAGGTTTTCAAATGGGTTTTGTTGAAAGCGAATGAAAGGATGTTCATTTGTCCCACATTGGACACAAAGGAAACCAACTATTTTTTATTTTTATTTTTTTTGATAAATAAAGGAAACCAACTATGGGTATATAACTACAAGAAAAGGGGAAGAAAAAAAAAGAGTGGTATCTTAATAAATCAAATGTGTTTGATTCGGTACATTATGGTGCCACCTGTGCACATGCAACGGGGTGAGGGCATCGTGTGATTCAGGGAACTTTGAAACGCACTTTGCACATATGCATTGTCGCTAGCAGTGTAGGAGCCTTTAGTTTTGGCTAGGTAAACCGATCAGACGATTGAAACTTGATCAGAATGATAAAACCTGAATGATGTAATCTGGCCTGTTAGATTCGCTCACAAAAGTTGGTAAGGGTCATGCCTTATTGCTTGCGATAGGGTGTGAAATCTGGATTGTAGAATTTGAACATTATAAATGGGATGCGATCCAATGGCTACTTAAGCATGACTCAACAAAAGCATCTGTTCATGAGCATTCATGAATTTGTCTAGAAATAGAGTTACGGAACTCTATTTTGAATATCAATTTTTTTGTGCTTTCTATCACCAAATTTCCCAACAGCTTAAGCTATTAAAAAATGGGCCCAACAATGTATATCATGTTATCCAACACCCTCTCTCTCACGGGGAGCTCCATCTCGCACGTGGAGAGACAAAAGAAAGAAATAACCAAATAGTGAAGAAGAAACCAAATGGGGGACAAAATACCAAAAAGCCAACGGAGAGAACCCAAGATCTCTCTCAACATAAGCCTTTGACATCATGTAAGTCACCGATTTTCCCAAAAGCTTAAGCTATTAAGAAAAAGAACCAATAAAGTATACCAAGCTATCCAACACTTTCATCATATTCTTCTTTGTCAGTTAGCATTATCAGTTTATACAACAAGAGAGTTCTAGGTTTGATCAGAGCATACATATTCTGAATCAAACTCCATCGATAAAGTTGCATTGTATCCGGAAGGCATAGTTTTCACAACTTGGTTGAGTACTCGTCGTTCAATCCCAAAGGGGGAAAATATTGCCTACAACACAGCGCCTTATACTTTCTAGTTCTTCCATTCTTCCTTCTTTATAATTTAAATTCCCACATGACCTGCTATAATTGTACACAAGCTAAGGCTAAATATATATATATATAGCTTCTTTAACTTTCAAGGTAACCATTGTCAACAATGTCAATTACATAGCAACGCAGGAAAAAGAAAAGTGCCATATTTTTCCCCCTTTTATTTAATTAATTAATATATACTCCTTCTCCTTGGATTCTCATATAGAAAAAATAATAAACCCAACACCAATATAATAGTCTGAAATGGGAATTTCCTAGACATCTCTCTATGCTAATTTAAGCATGAAAATAATAAGGGTCTTTCCTTTTTTCTTTTTTCCTTTTTCCCCTCTCTTTCCTTTTATGCGGGTACAAGTTGTTTGGTGCAAACTTATGGAGTTGCTTATGCCGCTACATCCACCAAATTTTGCTCCGCCCGAATTGAATATCTTATTTTTGTAAGATATTCAATTCGGGCAACTCGCACGGAGCAGAATTTGGTGGATCAAACATTATTCTAATTTTTTTTGCTTTTTTTTTTTTTTTTTGAAATCTGCATTAGAGTGTTCGGTGCAGCTTATGGAAAGCGAGGAAAAGGCAACATACCCAGATTGCTCTACAGTGAATTCTCCAGAAGCGATACGAGCGGACAACTCAGCAGGGAGCTTCTCTTCGAGTATGCGGTCAACAGTCTTGACGCCCTTATCGATTGAATCGGAGGAGGAGGAGGGTTCACGCCCATTTGAAGAAGACGACGACGAGCATTTTATGACAGAGCATCGAGAAGTTCCTGCAACCAATTCAATGTCATGCAGTGAAATTGAAGAGCATTGTTCAAAATAATAATAATAAAATTAATGTATACACACAAACACATATATGCAAACAATCTAGAGAAAGACATACCAAGGATGGGTTTGAGTTTGAGCCTGTTGGTTTGGATAGATGAGGGTACTTGAAAGAGAGGAACATAGGCAGCCATTTTCAGAGAGAGAGAGAGATTGATGATAATGGAGTGAGAAAGGGCTGTCAACAAATGATAACATTTGGGGTTGTGTTACTTACACGGCGGTTATACTGCAAAACCGCTAAACAACAAAACTTGGATCTCTCCTTTCGCACTCTCTAGTTAACAGCATCTTCAATCCTTTTCATTATTTTAAACAGCTGTCAATTATTTTATTATATTCTTTAAGTTTCATTTCACAACCATATATTTTAATTAAAAAAATAAAAAATTATTTTAAGTTACCATATCATTTTTTTTTAAAAAAATTATTAAAATATTTTATTTCTAAACGAGGCCTTAATAATAACAATAAATAATGAGCGAATTACACTAGTCATTCTAATAATTTGAGGTTTATATCATTTTGATCTCTAATTTTTTAATTGTAATATATTTAATTTTAAATCTTATTTTAAATAAAAACAATTAAAAATGTTTTCTTTGCAAACAACGGTTCATTTGAAGGACAAAATCGTCATATAACTTATATAGTGTTGGTTGACTTGTATGTTATTTAAAATGTAATGATTTTTTTTAATGAATAATGTTGAAACTTTCTTAATTATTTAGCTTGGTTTTCAAAATCTATTTTCAGAAATTTTTTCTAAGAAATTAAAAATTAAATTGATAAAAAAAATTAAAATGCATCATTTTTATATAATTTTATATTTTGAGAGAGTACAAATAATTTTTTAAATAAACTTTTTATATTTATTTTCGTTAAATTAGTTTTTACTTTTTCAAAAATCAAGCATGACGATGATTTTGATGTCATTATCAAATCAATCCATTAATATATTAAACATATCTATTACATGATAACTATTCAAAAATATTTGTTAACAACATATACAACCATCTATTACATGATAACTATCCAAAACTATTAACAAAAATAATCACTCATTATATGATCATCATCCAAACACATGCTAAAAATTAATTTGGTAAAATATAAAAAAGTAAAAGATTTATTATTTTTATATAATTTTATTTTTGGTGGGTAAAAATTTAAAAATAATTTTTTGACATTTATTTTATCAAACTAGTTTATATTTTATCAAAATGATGATTTTGTCCTTAAAATAGAATAACAATGTTTTTAATTGTTCTTATTTAGAATAAGATTCAAAATTCAGAATCAAATACATCACAATTAAAAAATCATAGATCAAAATAATATAAGTTCCAAACTAGAGAGACGGTTAATATAATTTGCGCTAAATAATGATAAAATGTTTTGTTTTATTTACGTTGCTTCAATGGTGATTTTACTAAAACATGATTTTTCTCCATTTATTCTCTCTTTCTACTACTGTTTCAAAATAACAGATGATGTATGAGTTTATAGACACAATAATGTATAATGGAGATGATTGACGGATAATTAAGCAAATATGAGAAAGAAAATGGCATTTTTCCAAATTAACAACCTATTTCCCAAATTAGGTCTAGTTTGGACGGAATTCCAAAACTAGGCTAAAACGTGGTTGTGAACTACGCTTTCATCCTTTTTCTGCTTCTCGTGCGGAAAAAATTGTAAAATCGTAAAAACGTGTCTCCAAACCACGCTTTTAATTAAGAAAGCGTGGTTAGACACCACGCTTTTAAGTAAATTTCTTTTTTTCTAAAAACGTGGTTGTGAATCACACTTTTAAGCAAAATTTTTTTTTTATGAAAACGTGGTTGTGAACCACGCTTTTAAGTAAAAAATTTTTTTTTGCTGAAAACGTAGTTATGAACCACGCTTTTACTGGGCCACTTCTCCTGACTGTTACATTTTGAATATTTAGTGCCACTCTAAGGTGTGTTTTCTACTTTATTCCCAATATGGGGTGAAATGGTTTTGCCAAACCCACTTTCTTTAAAACGGCTTTTCCAATGCCGTTTTTTATGAATAAAAAAATAATAAAATTTTCTTTCGTAAAAACGGTTTTTCTAAAGCCGTTTTTTCTTAATGTCTAATTAATTTTCAGTTTATATAAAACGGTTTTTGTAAAACAGTTTTTTAGTAATTTTTTTCCCAATTTATATTTTTCAGCATAAATATAAATTGCCACAAAATAATGTAATTCAGAAAACGGGTTTAGTAAAACCGTTTTCTAATACGGCGTTCCTAAAGCCATTTTCATGTAAATTTTTTTTTTCTTTCTGTTGTCTTTGTTCTGGTGTAATTCAGAAAACGGGTTTGCTAAAACCGTTTTCTAATACGGCTTTTCTAAAGCCGTTTTAATGTAAATTTTTTTTTTTCCTGTTGTCTTTGTTCTAGTAATAATGTAATTCAGGAAATGGGTTTACTAAAATTGTTTTCTAATACGGCTTTCCCAAAGCCGTTTTCATGTAAAATTTTTTTTTTTCTGTTGTCTTTATTTTGGTGATAATGTAATTCAAAAAAAAAAATTGGCTTTACTAAAGCCGTTCTCATGTTAATTTTTTTTTTCTTTTGTCTTTGTTTTGGGTTAGAAGGTGTAGTTCAGAAATTTTTTTTGGCTTTACTAAAGCCGTTTTCATGTAATTTTTTTTTTCTTTTGTCTTTGTTTTGAGTTAGAAGGTGTAATTCAGAAAATTTTTTTGGCTTTACTAAATCCGTTTTCATTTAATTTTTTTTTTCTTTTGTCATTGTTTTGGGTTAGAAGGTGATAAAGTAATTCAGAAAACCGATTTAGTAAAACCGTTTTCTAGCCGTTTTTATTAAATTTTTTTTTTCGTCTTTGTTTTGGGTTAGAAGGTGATATACATGCTCTACAGTCCGAAGCACACCCACACACTCTGCACTTCAACGAACAACGACGAAGGGTGAGACGCGAAGAGCACCGCGGAGGAGGTCAAGAAGACGAAGGCCCCCGCGAAAGCTGCAGCAAGAAGGAAGAAAAGAAAGACCTCAAATTTTGGTGATGTATTTTTTACATACGAATGGTACTTTTTTCATTTTTTGCTATGTAATGTAACTTGTATGTAATTTGGTGTCTAATTACGAACAGGAACTTATGTAATGTAAATATTGGGTTGGAGTTGATGTTATTGTGATTCAATTGGTTTTGCTTATTTCATAAGACTGATGTTGTGCAATGAATGAATGAATGGAAAGGTTATTTGTTTTATTCAATTGGTAGTGTATTTTTTTGTAAGAATGAGAACATTATTTGTTATATTCAATGAATAATGGTTACATTTTTGGGTTGTGTTACGATTGAGAAGATGAACAAGTTATGAGAATGTGTATTTCCCTCAAAATAAATTTTCTCAACATTTTTGTAATAAAACTTAATACATAATATACGAAGTCACTAATTTACTAAATACTTATACGGGCATGAAAACAACATAACTGAAGTTGCAAATGTAACAGTTTTCAGTTACATAGGTAGTACAGACATAAGTCTCCCACAAAAATACATTCTGGACACCATGAACTGAACACACAATACATACATCCTGGACACCCTGAACTGAACACACAATACATAAACATAACAGTTAGATAGACAAATATTAGGCAAACAATCTGACAAACTCATTATAGAAACACTTAGTCTAACACACACATTACATATTAATGCATGACCTAATATTGCCGAAGTATAGACATAAACACCTAATGTGCGCTTAAATCGGCAATCTCAGAGTCTGAATAATCCGAAAGCTCAGTGTCAGAGACAAGTTCAGTATCCTCCATGATACCCTTAATAGCCGCAACATTTGGTTATGTTCTGTTCTTCTGGGCATCTTTCTTAACTATGTATAGTTGCATATCGCGGGCGAACCTATGGCGCATTTGAGAAATCTCACGTTGTGATCTTTCACATAGTCGATCAACATTATCAGGATCTTCATTTTGGATCTCAACAGAACGTGCTTTTGGCACCTTAAGTTGATTTTCTCGACTTAAGGTTTCCAGTTGTACCCGCTCTATAAATAGTGCGGGCCATTTGAGACGAGCAGCGTCAGATAAACCATATCCTGTTTGATTGCCAGATGGCTCCATACATGGACCTCCTTGAACTCGATAATACTTGGGCATCAAAAAATGTCGCTTCCCAAACCTATCACGATAACCACAAGCATAATCTAAAACAGGTATTGTTGTTTCATCTTCAGCATTGCCACGTCCCTTTCCCCCTCCTCGTCGTGAACTGTCACCCCTTTGCAAGTTCCCACCACCTCTGCGATTCGCACTCCCTCCCATGAATCGTGTAGCCATGCTAATTTTTTTAAACAAATGAATAATAATTTCGTAGGGCAAAATGAGTTGTAAGGTTGTGTCTTTACCTTTAGTCATTTATATAGTTGGTTATGAACGGCTTTAGAAAGACACTGAAGGAAAAACCATAGAAAATAAATGCCTCTACATAACAATCGCACATATACGAACAAGGTATGAGTTGTCACTAGAATAAAAAAACAGAAAAAAGCAAATACTATGTACCAAGTCACGTGACTTGACAATCCATCTGCATATACCGACAAAATAAGGGCATGCTCACTGTAAGGTAAATCAGTGAATTCACTGTTGCCATGTGACTTTCAGAATTGACAATCCCACATATATCAATAAGAGATGAGTTGTCACTGTAATCAGCAAACAGAGAAAAGCAATGCCTGTGCACCAAGTCACATGACTTGACAATCCATCTACATATACCGACAAAATAGGGCATGCTTACTGTAAGGTAAATCGGTGAATTCACTGTTGCCATGTGACTTTCTGAATTAACAATCCCACATATATCAATAAGAGATGAGTTGTCACTGTAATCAAAAAATCAAGAAAACCAATGCTTGTGCACCATGTCACATGACTTGACAATCCATCATGCATATACCAACAAAATAAGGACATACTCACTGTAAGGTAAATCAGTGAAAATTAAAGCATATATGCAAAGTCACTGTTGCCATGTGACACTGTCAATGTAGTAAAAAGGGCGAGGGGTGTTAGAAACGCAACTTGAATTTCTTGGAACATAACTCACTTGCATGTTCTATGTGACAACTTAGTGACTACTCACTGCAACGAGAGATGTAAGAAAAATTGAAAAAACCACAAAACAGATTGAACTTGACCAAACTG